GCACTACTCTCGCAGTCTTCCAAAGTTTGGGTATGTATCCAGACACCAAGGATTGGTTAATTAGAGTTGAGATGGGTTTAGCAATTGCTGGCGCACTGAGCTTCAACAGCATTGCTGGGATTTGATCAGGTCCAGACTGGTTTTTCATTTTTAGATTATTAAGATGTTTTTTAATGACACTAACAGGTACAGGTCTAAAAATAAACTGGTCTATATTGGGCCTTTGCAAACTTAGTGTGAAATGCTGCAGCTAGGAGTGATAGAACACTCGGATAGCCCATGGGCCTCTCCGGTAGTGCTGGTGCAGAAGCGAGACGGAACCACCCGCTTCTGCGTAGACTACCTGGAAGCTTAATGACAAAACTATCTCAGATGCCTACCCTATGCCCCGAATCGACGAGCTCCTAGATAAAATGGCCAGGGGTTCTGGCAGATACTACTAGCCGAGGATGCCATCCCAAAGTCCGCATTCGTCACCCCGTTTGGGCTATACCAATTTAAGGTAATGCCATTCGGAATGAAGAATGCGCCGGCTACCTTTCAGAGGATGGTAGATCGGTTACTGGACGGATCCCAGGAGTATGCCTGCGCCTACTTAGATGATTGTCACATATTCATCCGCTTATAGAAATGTGGTTAATGACATTTACTGTCCACACAGGAAAAGATGTGCCGAGCAGCAACCTAATCCACAGAAGGGTTAATGCTGAGCAGTAATTGTGCAAATGAAACCTGGTGTCATGTATTCATCCGCTTAGAGAAAAGTGATTAATGACATTTACTGTCCACACAGGAAAAGTTGTGCCGAGCAGCAACCTAATCCACAGAAGGGTTAATGCTGAGCAGCAATTATGCAAATGAAACCTGGTAACTGACTTTGGGGTCAAAGGCCGGTTACAGCCTATCAGAACTAAAGGAGGGGTATTTAGGCCCAGTTCTCAGCCTGCTCAGTGCCCTGTCGTGGTTTCCCTTGTGGTTGTCTGAGAGCGCGTTCCTGTTTATAGTTTTCTACCTGGTTTTGACTTTGGCTTTGTTTATTGACTTCTCTATATTCTGGTATCCTGACTCCTGGCTTTCCTCATCGCTGTGTCCCTTTCTGTGTTCCCTGACCTCGGCTAGTATTTTTGACTATTCTTTCTACGTTAAATCCGGCCATTCTAAGGACCGGTAATACGTTACTTATTTGTCATCCGTGCTGTACAGTTCTACGTGCTGGATCAAACAGTAATCCTGACAATGATATAGCGATATTTAGCAACTCCTGGGAAGAGCATTTAACTCATATAGGAGCCATCCTCGATCGCATCAGGGAGGCAGGTCTAACGTTAAAACCCAGCAAATGCCATGTAGGGATGGCTGAAGTGCAATACTTGGGCCACAGGGTAGGAAGTGGGCAGCAAAAAACAGAACCTGCCAAGATAGAGGCCGTAGCTAAATGGCCGACCCCTCGCACGAAAACCCAGGTCCTAGCCTTTTTAGGGACCGCCGGTTATTACCGTAAATTTGTGCCCAATTATAGTGCCCTATCTAAGCCCCTTACCGACCTCACCAAGAAGAACCTGCCCAAAATAGTTACCTGGAGCCCAGAGTGTGAGCAGGCATTCCAAGAACTGAAAACTGCCCTAATTCATGCACCTGTACTTGCCGCTACTGATCCAACTAAACGCTTTCTCATTCATACAGACACTTCAATGTTTGTATTGGGAGCAGTGCTGAGCCAGGTTGGGGCCGATGGCGGCGAACACCCAGTCGCTTACTTGAGCCGGAAACTACTACCCAGGGAAGTAAGCTATGCCGCCATCGAGAAGGAATGCCTGGCGGTGGTGTGGGCCCTCAAGAAACTGCAGCCCTATTTATATGGACAACAATTTGCCTTGCTCACAGATCACAACCCGTTGGTGTGGCTAAACCGGGTGTCAGGGGACAACGCTAGACTGTTAAGATGGAGCTTGGCGCTACAACCATTTGAGTTCACCATCCAGTATCGCCCAGGGAAGCAAAATGGTAACGCCGACGGGTTGTCCCGACAGACAGAATTAGAGAAATGATCTGTGAGCACTCTCCCGGACATCCCCAAGCCGATCCGTTGGGATCAGACTGTGTATGCCGGCTTGGTTCTGGGGGAGCATTGTGGCAAACCCTGCCACTTGGACTAACTATTCTGTGCGAATGAACAGTTGAATTATTACAAGCGAATGGGTGCTAAAGCAGTGACTAAATGCACAAACGGACTATAATGTTATTCTTGCTGTTCTGTATGCGAATGCCCCGAAACTGTTCTTACGCACGAACAGCGGTACTTGGTCGTCGAACGCCTGGAACTCAAACCGGGCATTCGACTAACCAAGTACCGCTAAGACCTCCAGCATGCTCAGAAAGCACGAACCAAGCACACGAACGCCCCGGCGTTCGGTAGGTGGAATCCCACGTACGAGGGGATTCATACGAACGGTAACAGATGCCTGGATGCCTAAGCCGTTCGGGACTTTGTGTTCACTAGAAAAGACCAACCGCAGGGCCAGAATTCATGGAACTGTTTTCGGCTACTGAGCCCCTCCGGTCGGTCAAATCTTTCAATGCCTGTAACTCCCGAACCCCTGGTCCGATCTGGGTGAATTTTGAGTATGTTGCTCACCCAGATCAGACCTACCAGGGGACCCCTTATTTAACCCTGTACCCCCTGTATTTAGGGGACATCCATAAAGTGGGGAAAACTCTGTCCCCATTAATCTGTTTAACTGTTAATCTAAGGGGAGGAGAGGGAGGGGAGGTGACCATGATATGATTGGGTACTGTAAGTTACCTCCCTTGCATGGGAGAAATGCATAAAAGCAGACCTGTGAATAAAGCTGACAGTTGACTCCCAGACTATGTGTCGTCTAGTCCATGGGGAGGTGGATTATGCTGTGTTCCTGTGATTTTGTATGCTGAATCTTTGTTCCCAGCGGAGAGCTATTGGATTAACCCCTGCTACTCCGCTACATGAGGGTATAGGTCTGGTCTCCGCATGGGACCATTAAGGCTCCGTCTGTCCTCCATCTATATCAGAACGACTGGTTTCTCAGTTGCTTGGCCACTGGTGCCAGCTTGTGCCTTTCCGCTAGGACCGCAAATTGTTTGTCTCAGTAGAGTGTCACCATACTGTTTTCAAATTCTACACTGCCCATCTCTCTTGATCGGGCCATGATCGTGGAATGTCTTTTGTTACAATTATGGCATCTCTCGGCGCGTCAGCTGGTGTTGTGGTGGCCTTTCGGATGCGGAATGCTGCTAGCATCATGGATGGGTAATTTCTGCCCTTAAGGCCCATGGCCAGGAACAGTATGTTGGCATTGAGTAGGAGATCCTCCCCTCGACCTTTTCTGAGACTCCACTTAGTCGGACATTCCCGCCTCTGTGCCGAGATTCCATGGAAGCCATATTTCTCTGCATGTTACGGACCTGTTGGGTAAGCGCCTCTATCTGCGGCTCTGTAGCCTGTCGTCCCTGGCTTTCCCCTTCTACTCTACCCTTTGTAACTTCTGAGTTACTATGCCCAGCTCCTTTTGGGTCTCCTGGAGTTCCTCCTTCCATACTTTGCAGAGGTCCAGGAGCAGCCGCTTGATGTCTCCTCTTGTGGAGGGCATCGAGTCTTCCTCCGACCCGGACTCCCGGTCTGGTTCACTGTGGTGTGAAGAGGTGGGGGATTCTGCCTCCTCTTGCAACTGCTCTATGTCCTCTGCCTCGAGCTGCGCTTTAGGCGCCATTTTAGGAGGTAGGACTCATGAAGGATAGCCGTATGTCAGGGAGTCTTGGGCTCTCGGGCACCCGGAATCTCGTATTTTTTGGCCCATTGTGTCATCTGGCGGGGCAGCACATTGGGTGGTCTCCGGGTGGTCGTCGACCGGTAAATATCTGCGTTTTGTCTCTTTCTAGCCGGAGCTCCGGCACACGTCTGCACAGTTGCTCAGTTGGCCATGCCCCCCCCTACAAGTTTATATTTTAATGAATAAGGGTTGTGAATTAGGGACAGGGTTAAGGCTTATGAAGTTAGATTTGACATTAAACATATGGAGGTGGGGAATCATAGGTGTTCTCTTCTTGCATATCATTAACAACTTTATATTATGTATTTACCCCCATCTGGGGTATTTCAAGTGGTGGTATTTTAACACTTCCCATGCACTAATTCTACCAGCAGTCTTTTTCAAACTTTTGGGTTGTCATTTTTTGTGTGTTATTTTTCTCTCACATTGTGAGAGAACATCTCCTGAGTACAGTGATAAGAGATAACTGTCTCAAAGCCAAAGTTTATAAAAACTGCACAATAATCTAAACTATAATAATAAACTCAATTTAGTTATACAATCTCAAGTCAGAATCATTGTGCAACAAAGATATAGAGAGAAGTCTGAACACCAAGAAAGAAAGTTAAAGGGACACTATGGTCACCAAAACAACAGTGGCTTAATGAAGCAATTTTGTGTATAGGTCATGCTTCTGATGGTTTCACTGCTCAATTTTCTGCCATTTAGGAGTTCAATCACTTTTGTTTCTATCCATGCAGCCCTAGCCACACCTCTGTTGGCTGTGACTGACACAGCCTGCATGAAAAAGGGTAGTTTCATCTTCTGCTCTGTAAATTGAACTTTAATCACACACAGGAGGCTACTGCAAGGTGTGGTAAGCTATTTACAGAGCAGGAGATAAGAAATTCTAAATTTAACAGAATTTGTTATAAAGGAAGTTTAAATATTAGATGACAGTTTACAGGACGTATTTAGGAAGAGTGTGTAAGTCACATGCAAAGAAATGTGTCTAGGTGTGCATAAACAAAGTTATTTTTTTTATTTTAATTCTTTATTTTATTGTGCTTGGCAATAGAAAATACAATGAAGCAGGTAAAGCCAGAATAGCAATTACTGCCTTATCTGCCAACATATTTGAACAATTGTGTGGCAAGTTTAAACATAGCACATTTTATAATTTTATGTAATGTAGTTTCCTCGAGTTATAGATCGACTTGTCAGTTACGAGCGAATTTATATAAGTTACACAGTGTGATTTCCTGACTGACTATGGTATATGGTTTTAAGGTTACAAGCTTAAGAGAAATAACAATAGGATTAAAGATTTGCTTAGTGTATGGAGACATTTCAGTAAGAGTATGCGGTATACCAGGTTAAGCTTAGTTTAGAGTGTCATGTGTGCTGTACTATTTTAGATTATAGGAAATATGCGGGGACCTGGGAAACTGAACACGTTTGAGCTGTAGGAGACAAGCTAACATTATACCTAAGTGGCATGTCTGAGTATATCATGCTAGGTTAGTACCAACCGGTAGTGTAGCATTGGGCAGTAAAACAAGCGTATTCAACTTTGTCTGAGTAGTAGAGGCCTATTGCCCAAAGTTAGGGCCTCGCCGTGGATCATATATGTAAAAAGTGTTAGGAGAGTCTCTGAGTTAGTGTTTGATGGGTGCAGAAGTCTGCCAGTGAAGTGTAGGTGAGGTGACAGGTAAGGTGACATCTGGGCAGATAGAGAGTTCTCAGGGTGTGAGCGTAGGCTTTGGCTGGAAGCCAGCTGGTGAGGCAGTCCATTTGCACATAGCCGATACCTGTTCTGGAGGCCGGAACTGCACGTTTGGAAGAGAGCTCCGTTCCCAGGGGGCTCACCAGTAACGTGTCTGGGCTGTTGCTGCACCTGCTCTCCTGCTTGCCCCGGGCTTGTCGTGTCTGTGGCTTGTATCTTGGCGTGTGGTTGCGTCGGGCCGCATTCCCGGACCACCGCGGGCACCTCCGCTGGCGTTGATGTCTCCCCGGTGTGGGTAGGTTTCACCCCTTGAAGCTTTGATGTCCGGTTGGCCTATTTCGGGAGTTGTACCTGGGTGGGTCCCTGTGTGCCGCACTTCGTATTTGCACTGTTTGGAGCTCTCCCCTCTGTTAAGGCGTCATTCCTTGTGCGGCCTGGGTTCCACACATACCCTTATTGGTAGTATGGGTCTGTGTCTCTGTTCCAGGCGTGTCCAGAACTGACTGCAGACGGCCTTGAACCTGGCTTTGAAGTCCGCTTCCTAGTCACTGGGATTTCGTCGGTCTGGGTGAGTAATGCCACTGTTGGCCATTTTGAGTAGGCCTCGGGGTCCCCGCTTTCCTGCTGTGCTCCCAGGGGTACCTTGTAGCTGGGTGGTCTCTTTCTGGTTGTGCGGACCGGGATAACCCATTCCCCACCCTCAGGTTCCCACTCCCGTGGTGCTGAGGACTCTGCACTGGGACTCTCCTCCCTCTTCTTCCGTCATCGGCTGAATGCGCGGCAAGAGCCGCATACGCATTCAGCCAGTCTCATTGGAAAGCATTGTCAATGCTTTCCTATGGACACTGGCGTCTTCTCACTGTGAAAATCACAGTGAGAAATGCGGAAGCGCCTCAAGCGGCTGTCAATGAGACAGCCAATAGAGGCTGGATTAACCCATTGGTAAACATAGCACCCAGACAACTTCATTAAGCTGAAGTGGTCTGGGTGCCTATAGTGGTCCTTTAATGAGGTTGTTCAGGTGAGAAATATAGCTCCCTCCAGCCTTTCTCATGTAAACACTGTATTTTCTGAGAAAATGCAATGTTTACATTCAAAGCTAGGAACACCTCCAGTTGCAGTCACTCAGAGTGAACCAGAGGGACTTCTGAGTTGATGGACGCATAATATGCCTCCATCCACTCAGATCTGCTGTGCACGAGCATCCTGTGATTCAGTATCTCCTCCCACTGCATGCAGACACTGAACATGCTGGCTCTACCCCTGATCTGCCTCCTTGTCAGTCTCAGCCAATCCTATGGGGAAGCACTGTGATTGGATCAGGCTATCACATGTCAGCAGACTGCTTGTTTTTCCTGAGTCTAACAGCCTGCAGATTTACAGCTTCAGGCTTGAATACATTAAGATTGTTACTATATTTATGGAGGCAAGAGGGGTCCAGGGGGGCTAGATGGTCGTGTTAACACTATAGGGTCAAGAATACATGTAGTTGCACTGGTGACTATAGTGTCCCTTTAATACACGAAAGGATCTGAGAATGGAGAATGACCCTCACGCTCTTTGTTATGGTCAATTAAACATAATCGGTCTACCTGGAGCCTGTGTACGATACGTAGTTTTAGTTAGAATCCTAGAATAAAGACCTCAGATTTCTATTGGCTAATATTTTAATACAAAAGACTGTAAAATGAACCAAATGCATGCAACTGTAATCCTTTCAAATACCATAATGCGTACAGGAGTGGCCTGGGTGGACCTGCACTGATAAGCTGGTAACAAAAGCAGCACTATATCCCCGTGCATTACCTTAGATAAGCTCTGACCTTCTGTGATAAATCACGGTAGGAAAATATTAAGAATGGAGAAATGTACACACATATAACAATTCATACACCTGCAGTTGTTTCTACTCTAGAGGGGCACTGCCAAAATGGCTATTACAGGTCATGGTAGAATGGCTTACTGCTTAATATATATGCAAAATTACATAGATTGTGTACAAAAAGGGAACATCCTTATTCTAGTTTAACCATCGGTATTTTTCTATAATTTAAATCCCCCATCCCATCCCTGGGTTGCCATTCAAATGTTGATTGTCCCATATGTGCAATTCAGTCATAAGCAAGGATTTTATTAATTCTAAAATTATATAAGTGATTGGAAGCTAGAGGTAGCAGTTTCATTTACTTGTATTTAGAAAGTGCTCAAGCTTAATTACATGTCAAAGTTTCAGTTTTGATTTGTCAGTGATATTTAATTAGTAAACTTGCATACGGATATGGGTCTACTCACAAAATAGGAAAAGGGTTGGCTGTAAGATCTCAGAAATTGACTAAATGATGTTGTGGATACTGATGAAGGACTGGAGCTGCATAGTCACTAGCAGGCAATATTTTGTCACTTGATATCAATAAATATGGATATAAATAAAATGGATGGTAAACAGGGCCGCCATCAGGGGGTGACAACCATGACGGTTGTCACGGGCCCGGCGGTCCTTGGGGGGCCCGGACTGCTTTGGAAGTCCTGGGCCCCACATTCCCTCTCTGCACATATATATAGCGATGATCGCTGTATTTGGAGAGGGGGCCCAGCAGTCTGCATGAAAAGCTCTTCCCTCTCTCTAACTCCCGCGAGACTTGCGGCCGTCAGAGCGTTGCCATGCAGACCACACTCGTGGGAGTTAGAGATGCAGGCCACGCTCGCGGGTGTTACAGATGCAGACTGCTGGGCCCCCTCTGCAAATACAGGGAGCCGGAGGCCCCCACAATGCTACCGGACCACCAGGGATCATGGAATCTCCCCCCTCCCTGAACCTGGTAAGAAGCAGGGAGGGGGGAGAAACATGTATTACATTTACATTATTACATTACATACATACACTAGTAAACACACACACACACTACATTCATTACACTAACACACACTGCATTCATTACACTAACACACACTGCATTCATTACACTAACACACACACTGCATTCACTACACTGACACACTCTGCATTCATTGCACTAACACACACTCTGCATTCACTACACTAACACACACTCTGCATTCACTACACTGACACACACTCTGCATTCACTACACCAACACACACTCTGCATTCACTACACCAACACACACTCTGCATTCACTACACCAACACACTCTGCATTCACTACACTAACACACACTCTACATTCATTACACTGACACACACTCTGCATTCATTACCCACTAACACACATTCTGCATTCATTACACTAACACACACTCTGCATTCACTACACTAACACACACTCCGCATTCATTACACTAACACACACTCTGCATTCATTACACCAACTCACTCTGCGTTCACTACACTAACACACACTCTGCATTCATTACACTGACACACACTCTGCATTCATTACACTAACACACACTCTGCATTCACTACACTGACACACACACTGCATCCACTACACTGACACACACACTGCATTCATTACACTGACACACATTCTGCATTCATTACACTAACACACAATCTGCATTCATTACACTGACACAAACACTGCATCCACTACACTGACACACACTCTGCATTCACTACACTGACACACACTCTGCATTCATTACACTAACACACACTCTGCATTCACTACACCGACACACACTCTGCATTCATTACACTGACACTCTGCATTCATTACATTAACACACACTCTGCATTCACTACACTGACACACACACTGCATCCACTACACTAACACACACTCAGCATTCATTACAATGACACACACTCTGCATTCATTACACACAAACACACACTCTGCATTCATTACACTAGCACACACTCTGCATTCATTACACTAACACACACTCTGCATTCATTACACACTAACACACACTCGGCATTCATTACACTAACACACACTCTGCATTCATTAAACTGACACACACACTGCATCCAC